TACCACTTTGTTTGTAACTCTGTATTGTCTGTACTGTGCTTGTGATATGTTGTAAAATGTTGTATGTCTGTTAATGTTTCCCTCCCTTTATCTCTAAAAAAAAAAAAAAAAATCCACCTTACATTTATGGGCCTGATTTCTAGTACATTCTGTAGCACTAATTGAGGCTTTCCCTTGGAAGGTATGAGCTTACTTCTCTGATGGAGGTTAGTGAAATAAATGGTACAAGATGGGGCACAGGCTATGGGAAGAGATATGGAATTAAATGACCTGTGCTTGAAGCCTCGTGCTGATGCTTCCTAGTTATGTGACTTTGGAGATCTGTTTCTTTATCTGGAAAATGGGGGCCACTCATCCCAATTAGTTTATGGGGTTGTTGTGAGGATAACATGAACTAGCTTAAGCGACTGTACTTTGTATACTATTGAGCCCCATGTAGGGTTCGATGCTTCTGTTCTCCAAGCTGAGTAAGGAAAACATTATGTACAGTACCATAATACTGACCATCTTTCTGTCTTGCTTTGTCCTTCCAGTCTTCAAGCAATGACACTGAAAGAAATGCGAACAGCGTTAGTAGCCTGGAGAGCGCAGGTGGACCAGACAACTTGGGGCATATTATTGCTGATCTCCATCTGAATACCCCTCAGGACTTGCCTGAAAATCATGCAGCGTGTCAAGGTCCATATTGGCACATCAACAAGATTTTGAAGGAGGCTCACTTCTACAGCCTCCAGCAACGTGGACAAGCCACCAACAAAATGTAGTAGGAGCTCTTCGTTCCAACCTCAACCTAGTTCATAAAAGCATCTGCACGTACAAAGGCACACACGTGTCATCTCTACTCTGTATTCTAGATAACGGATTGATGGGCAACTGTTGACTGGGAATTTCACTGCACTGGTATAATTTCAGAGCGGCTTCCATGACTTTTTTATGGGATTCTGTTTAAGTTGGCTGTCAACTTCATGCTAAGATAGTACTATGAGAAATCCTCACTGGGACATTGAACCCATAGTGTGTCCAGTTCAGGTTTATCCAATTTGTTGGTTAGAATCTCTCGTTCAGAATAGTTTTTTTTTTATATAAAAAATGTGTTTCTTTGCTCTCATGAGTTGAAATGCCTAGTAAAGAGTATGTCATTTTCATTTTATTAAAAAAATCCAAGTAAGTGCTAAAAGGAATGCAAGCCTTAACTTAGGATTTCAAAGTGTGTAACACTTGGTTCCGTCTTACACCCAAATGAACTGCCTTGCTGCTACTCCTTAGAAGAGAGATGTTTTACTGAAATTGCTCTCTACTTGTCATGGCCAGAATGAGACAGAGGATAAAACTGAAAACCTTTCTTCAGTAACATTCTCAATTCTTCATCTTTTTAAGGAGACTGTTTCTCAGGTTCTTGTATACTCAGGTACCCTCCGTATTCTTAATCCTCCCGAATGTGCACTTCAGTCTCAGTAGGAAATATTACACATTCAGTTAGAAGAGAAGTATGTGATAATGTTTTGGCCAAAACACAAACCTAGTACATTGGCAGGATTGTCTTCTCACTTATAATTGCTTCTACTATATCTACAGTTACTGTTGATAAAGTGGCAGCCACTTGAACTGATGTTGAACAAAAAAAGAATTGTGCAAATGTGTAGGACAACCGTAAACTTTATGCTACATGAGCCTTTTCACAGGGATTAGGAGGGCCGACTTCCATCATTAAGATTTCAGGGATTTGCAGGTATGGTGGTACATGCCCATAATTCCAGCACTCAGGAGACTGAGGCAAGAAGTTTTCGGTAAACTTAAGGCCAGCCTGGGCTACAAAGTGAGACCCTGTCTCAAGGCAAACAAGCAAGGAAACAATCACAGAGATTTCAGGGCTTAGACTGGTTTACAAAAGTGAGCTCACATATCATTAGAAGAAACAGGCAGTGCAGTTTTCTTAGAGATTGATATGTCCTGGAGTTTGAATTGTGTTTTAAAAACTTGGTATGGTGACTTCATAGATGTCTCTGCCTCTTCATGGTTGGCCTTATTACAGGAATGGTTTTTCAGATCAGACAGGTGTAGTGGAATTTTAGTGTTACAGTGTGTTATGTCTTGTGTCTAGGTGCCCGATCCCCAAGCCTCGTAAGTTCATTCATAGGGCTTTCTAGACGTGCCTACTAGGCGGTGTTACGTGGAGATCAAGGACGTGATGCTTGGATTGATTCATGGTGTGATGCTAGGACTAAGGCTGCCCCATTCTGGCTGTGAATGGTACCTGCCCTAAGGATGGGTACCCTGGATAGAACATAAGTGACAGGAAGAGGGTGGCTATTTGTTTCTTATTGCTTTGCTTGTCACTTGACTCTTGCTGCCTTGCTGTTTTCTCTCTGACATGAACATTTTCTCCTCTGTGATGACCCCGTGTCATGGCACCCTGCCCTGGAGGCAGCTGATGATGGAGTGAAACCTCTACAAATTGTGAGCTACAATAAGCCCTTCCTCCTTTAACTTTAGGGATCGAGTATTTTTGTCTCAACAATGAGAAAAGTAACTAAGACGCTGTGCAACATTTACAGCATTACTGACCTCAAAGTCAGGAGGGAGCATGAGTTCATTCTTTCTCAAATTAGATGTTATGTGCAAGAACATTTTTCCCCCTGTGTCTGGTGTTTCCAAAGTTGGAAAACCAGAAGACTGAAAAGAAGACATTTTAATTCTAAAGGGTTTGATGACATGTTAAAATAGAAAGAATACGAGGCTCCCTTTTTCTCTGCAGCAGTATGGTGAACAACCACACAGTAAAGAAGGAAAGGTGTTTGAACTTTGAAACCGCATGTGTGTAATATGACTTGGGACTACCCAGGAAGAATCCTGTAGGCTTAAATACATGGTATAGTGTTAAAACAAGGTACACAGTGTGATAGAAAACTTGACAGAAATTTTCTGTCATTTGCAACCCATGTAGAGACATGAAACATGAAGCCATAAATGTGAAGAAGCAGAATGTTTTGTAATATAACTACAGTCTTGGTCCAGGGTGAGCAGGGCAAATCTCTTTTCCTAGTAAGTTGAATAGGCCATCTCCATCCCATCATCCCAATTTCCTTAAACCTGCTTTTACCAGCTTCAGTCCTTTGATCTTAAGATTAAACTCTATTTAATAGCAAAGAAGGAAGCTAGCCCTTCTGAACAATCTCTGCTGTGCAGTAAAACTGTTTGCTAAGACCACCACATGAAAGGAGAGGCTTCTCTGGAGATTTTCCAAACTTAGTTATCTGAAGAAGGGGAGCCAGGTTAGCTCAAGAGGTGAAGTTGGACCCTGTCTTAGGAGTGCCCTAAAGAAATGAGAATATAAAGCATGTTCACAATGCTTCACCAAAGGTGAGCTAGGGATGGTATTTGGGAAGAAAGGACCTGTCCATGTCTTCATTGTTGTTCTGTCAGTGCTTTTTTCTAATTTTTAAAATAAAATAAAAAATTTTAAAAAAGAGAAACCTACCATGTGCCACAGTGTGTGCAAGGTCCTAACAGTAATCTTGAGACAGTTGTGGTGCGGGGCTCCAACACACAAGCTAGAAGAGGGAGGCTGGCAGGAAGTCGTCCACATGACCACATCTGATCCTGATGGAATTCACAGAACTTAATGATTTGGTGAAAGTGCATACCAGGTGAGGAGCAGTGTCACAGCTGAGAGCCAGATATTTTACACTTTGAAACAATGGCCCTTTCCTACATTATGGAGCTGCCTTTGTGAAGACCAGGTTGGTCATCAGAACGGGGTTGGCAGATGCCAATTCATAGGGCACTTGGAGAGAGCTTCACACCTGGCATATAGCCTGAGTGATACCAAACACTCTGCACTTTGAACACTTGAGACGGACTAACTAACCCAAGAAACCTCCTCTGTGCATGCATGCATGCATGCGTGCATGTGTGTGCCTACCTCAAATCACTAAGACCAAGTTCGATCCATTTTTATTCTAAAAGTGTTCCATACACAGCTACTACTTCAAACATGGAACCTTTCAGTGTTTTCAGCAATGTCTCTTTGTCAGTGCATATCCACTCACCAGAATGGGTTCCTGACTTAGACTGAACAAGGATGGTAAGCACAGGATAGCTGAAGGAAGTGTTGAGTTACCAACTTGTGTCTTTTGGTAAATCCTCATGCTTTGCTTGTACGCCTGAAGGGTGACCTCTCAACTCCATCTCAACTTCACTGCTCATGGACCTCCTCAACTAACAGATGCCAGAGCCTTTGGCTATCTATGTAAAGCTTTTCAGCATGTGCTGCATGGGTTTTACCTTGTGGTTTTCCTTTTAGAGCAGTGACAGTTGTCATCATGATAAGTTTTCCAATAATAATAATCTTTTCAAATTTGCATGCAATTCTTGCTCCTTCTAAGCAACACCTTGTTACTGCAACAGAATGAAATAATCATTCAATAGTTCTCCCTAGGGCACAGTTTCTTATTTACATAAGGAAATAAAGAATACAGTAAAGCAAACTTACTTTGAGGTCCACATCAAAGCCTATGTGTTTGATTTCTAAGCTCTCATTCCTTTCTATATACTATCACTTGCCCCACTTTTCCATGAGGACTCTGTAATATGGGCATCTGTGCTCCTATAGAAAGAGCTAGATCTAGATGCTGACACCAATACCAGATTCTCGCCTGAGTCTGTTGTTCCCTCATGCTGGTAATTGTGGCCAAGATATAATCTGTGTTCTGAAATGACTAATTAGATACATGAACCAAGACTGGGAAACAAAGACACACGTTGTCCTCAATAAGCCATTTGGACTCACCTTTTGTTTTCTTGAAACTAAGAGACTTCTCTTGAAACAGTCTCTACAATGGTGACATGCCAGCAGGATTGATGTGAGGAGTAAGTGTGACAGGTGATCTCCATGCTTCCTCTGGCTTTAGAACCTTCAAAAGCAAGGAGAAGTTTCCTGTTACCCAAAACACTACAACAATTTTCATTGCCAATTCTCACAACACCTGTGGAGACTATAGAGAAAATGATGGTTTGGTTGCAGAGGCACACATATCTAGCCTTCACCAGGGAGAAAGTCTTTATTCATTCTCATCCAATGGAAGAGAAATAAATCAAAATTTAAATCTGTAAAATCTAACCAAAATGAATGGAAAATAGTTTATATACTTTTTTTTTTTTTTTGTGGGAATTGAACTCATGAACTCAGGCTTGCCAGGCAAGCGCTTATGCCTCTGAGCTACATCCCTGGCCCTATATATGTTATATGTATTCTCTCTCCCTCAGACATCAAAAAAAATTATTCATATGAACTAAGAGTTTCTCTTCCTTCACTGCTAAAGGCACTTTTTAATGTAAACAAAACTGTAGTGCAATAAAGAGCTACAAAATGAATGAACTGATCAACATGGAGGTTGTTAGTTTGAGGGTCACTCACTTTAAGAACACTTACTCCCATGTTCCTCTACACCTGGGACTGGGGATTAATTTCTTGTGACTTATCTAAAGGCGAGGTCAAACTCTTTCCGTTTCATTGGCCTCCTTCTCTTCCCTCCCTTTTCCTTCCCTTCCCTTCTCCTTCCCCTTCCCTTCCCCTCCCTCTTTCCCTTTTCCTTCCCTTCCCCTTTCCATTCCCCTTCCCCTCTCCCTCTCCCTTCCCTTCCCTTCCCTTCCCTTTCCTTTCCTTCCTCTCCTCTCCTCTCCTCTCCTGTCTTCTCCTCTCCTCTCCTCTCCTCTCCTCTCCTTTCCTTTCCTTTCCTTTCTTTCCTCTTCTTTCCTTTCCTCTGTTCTCAAACCCTTGGAAGTTTCTCTGAGTTCCGTGAGGCGCCCCAAATGCATCAGATGC